AGTAGCAGTAGGAGTAGCAATAGCAGTAGTAGCAGCAGCAGCAGTAGCAGCAGCAGCAGTAGCAGCAGCAGAAGTAGCAGCAGTAGCAAGTAGCAGTAGCAACAATAGCAGTAGCAGAAGTAGCAGCAGTAGCAAGTAGCAGTAGTGTAGAAGCTGTGTCGCAGACTGAAGGGTCCTGATCGTGTGTGAGCCATCCGCATTTGCCGTCGCCTCTTTAGGCCTTGACCCAATCATGGCGATTGGCAGGTAAAAGGTGAAGCCTGCTGTTTCTCTGTGCACCAGGGATTCATAGTGGCACCGGAGCCTGAGTTGGGACCTTCGCGCTTGCTGCTTTTACTCCGCTTCGCTGTACTTTCTCTTCTACCTCTTTGCGGGGCCAGCACTTTGTGCTTGAGGGCTCCGACGGCATCCTCCCGGACGGCGAGTTCGGAAGGCTGTGCCTAGCGGTGGCACGGGGAAAGAGAGCAGTGATTGCTCCTGCTTTTCTGGGCCCGTGACTGGCCAGTGGTTTTCTGCTGCGTGCTGCGAGCACCTTCTTTGGCAGGACCACCTCCTTGAGGAAAACCTCTTCAGCTGCTACCTCTCCTTCTTCTTGGGCTGTCTGAGGAATATCCTTGGCTTCTTTGGCCCGGCGAGAGGCTACAGCACTTTTGGTGGTAACTAGGCCACCCTCTTTTGCCGAGCTTTTTGAGTACGTGGTGGCGGCCGAGGACCGCCCTTCTTCTTTGTGTTTAAGTACCTCGCCCTACGGCACTTCGCTGGCGAGATGGCTGATGAGGACAAGTCTTCGTCTACGCGGTTCAAGGTGCCGACCTGGGACGGCGCTCCTACTACGTGGCGCAGCTTCGAGCGAGAAATGCAATGGTGGGTTTCTTCTTTGGACATAGAATCCACCAAGAAGTACAATTTGGCGGCGAGGTGGCTACTTCGACAAACCGGAGTGGTCAAGCAACGTGGAGAGGAATTTACGCCAAAAGAATTGGAATATCAAAGGGAGGTCAAGTCGACTGATCCTGAAGGACAAGAGATCATCGTTGTGCCCGACGACCCGCTGGCTGGGCTGAACAAGCTCATGAAGGCTTTGGAGGAGATCAATGGCAAGAGCAAGCTGGACCGGAGGGGAGAGCTGAGGAATCAGTTCTACCTGTCGCTGCAGCGGCGCCCGGGCGAGAGGCCCGCTGACTTCATGAGTCGTTTCAGGTCGCTGGTCGCGGAACTTAAGAGCGAGGGCATCGAGCTCCCGGCCGGGGAGCTTGGATGGTTTCTTCGGGAAAAGCTTGGCCTGGATCCCTTGCGGAAGCAGCTTTTGGAAACGGCCTTGCAGGGGCGCGAGAACTACGCCGACGTCGAGCAGGAGGCCCTCCGGTTGTTCAAGGACCTCCATGCCAGTGACCCGTTGATGCGCCGTTTTTTTGGAGACAAAGGGCAAGGGCGGGGGTTTGGATCCTCGGGCGGCTCCTTCTCGGGCCGCTCCTCGGCACCGTCCCTAGCAGTGTCCAGGGCGCCTTCCTCCTCGGCGGCTTCTGCGGCACACTCCTCTTTCAAGGGTTCGGGCCGCTTTGGGGGGCAGCAGCAAAGACGCTTTGGCTATCAACAGCAGCGGCCCAGGCAAGCCTTTGCCGCGGAGGCAGATGAGGACGAGGAGTTCTATGAGGACCCCGGCGACGAAGAGCTGGTCGCCGATGAGTCCGGCGAGCCCGGCCTGGACGAGACCCTGGAGACCGAGGCGGAGGCCTTGGCAGCCGAACTGGAAGAAGCCGAGCAGGAAGGATGTGATGGACAGCTGCTGGGCGACCTTGAGGAGTCTTACGGCAGCGCTGCAGAGGCCTTGGTTTCCATGAGGGAGGCCCGGGCAAAATTTCAAGAAGTCCGAAAGGACCGTGGCTTCGGCAAGGCTGGTCAGAGCCCCGGCGCCAGGACGACGACCTCGAGCACGAGCTCCCCGAGCGCAGGGGGGTTCAAGAAGCGAGGGCTTTGCTGGGACTGCGGACAGCAAGGCCATTGGGCCGGGGATGGTGTGTGCACCCGGGAGCTGGTCTGTTCAAGAAGGGCTCGGGAAAAGGAGCCACCGGAGCGCAGGGCGCTTCTCCAGCCCGACGGGTGCATCTCACGGAGACCTTGGCCACGGAGGCGAATGAGGAGCCGAGCGGCCGGGAACACGAGGTGGCCGTGGTGACCAGTATAGAGGAAGCCCTAGCCTTTGCCGGCCCCCACGAGACCATGGCTGGCACCGCTGTGTTGGCTGGAGACAAAAAGCTGGTGGGAGCTTTGGACAGCGCGTGCAATAGAACAGTTTGTGGTCGCCCGTGGTAGAACTACATGTCAAGTCTCCGTGCCTCTCCTGCCTGGGAGGCCGTCGGGGACCTGGTGAAGTCGGAGCCCGAGCGTGAGACCTTTAAGTTCGGGAACGACGGGACTAAGCCAAGCTTTGTGAGACAGTGTTTGCCGATGATCGTGGGAGACAGTCTTGTCTTGGTTTGGACCAGCGTTGTTGAGGTGGAGTCCCTCGGACTCCTTCTCGGCAGAGACTTCCTGGAGGCCATCGGAGGAGTCATGAGCTTCACGCGCCGCGCGATAAGAGCCGACCACCTCGATGGCAAGCGCATCCCTTTGCGTCAGCTCGCTGCAGGACACTTCTACTTGGACATCTTCCCCGGCAAGGCGATCGACGTGGGCCAAGGACGTTGGACCCGGCAAGGCCAGGACGGGGTTCTTGAAGTGCAAGTGTCTAATGCTGAGTGGTCTCGCCGAAGAACTGAAGCACTTAAGCCACGGCAACTTGTGAGAGCAGAGTTCATGAGCAGCTGCTTTCTGAAGTTCGCGGCCGCTGCTCCCCTTTGCCGGCTCCAACAAAGATGAAGAACCTTCTGCGAAGGACCTCCAATTCGAAACCTCACCCGGCCAATGCCTCTACTTCCCGAGCACCACCAAGGACGAGCCGAGGCCGTGGCGAGAGTGTTGAAAAGGTACACAAGGATGTGCCTAAGGGTGCTCGGCCGAAACCTGTGGCACTACGTTGGGCTGCAGCTCTGGTTGCTGCAGCGACCCTCTCTTCGGTTTGTGCCGCTTCCGTACGGAAGCACGAGGTGCCCTGCCGACTGGAAGATCCAGGCCGAATCCATGGTGAAGAACGGTGCCTTCCCGCGACGGCACTACCGGACCTGCGTCATGAACAACTTGTTCGAGGATCTCGGGCTGCTCAAGGACGCCAGCTACCTGCGGGACCGACTGGGTTTGAAGCTGGCCTTGTCGAGGATCCAATGTTGGCGGGCATGCTGGCGTCAAAGGCCACCAAAGGAGTGCGGGCAGCCATCCAAGGACAGGCCCTGGACAAGATGAAGCGCGAGGCGGCCGAGCAGCGGGACAAGGGCGAAGCCTTGAAGGCGGCGCGTTCGTTGCTGGGACCCCGGGGCGGATTGCCGTCACTCAAGTCCGACCTGTTGCGCCTGGCCACCCTTCTTCACGTGGAAGTGGGAGCTACCGAGACCGTGGAGAAAATCAAGCTGAAGCTGAGGCCTATGGTGGACACACTAAAGGGGGTGCCCTACGAGCCAGCAGCCGCACCGGCTTCATCGTCGACGGTTCCGGCGGCATCCTCGGCACGGCTACCTGTACCAGCGGACGGTTTGCTACGAGACGACCGGGAACTACTTCCACGGACCGAGGGGCCGATGCCGCCGCCCCCGGGACACACCAAGGACGAGATGATGGCGGAGATGCGCGCTATGCTGGACAGCCGGGACCAAAGGATGGAAGCTATGATGGTGCAGGCCATGCACCACGTGATGTCAGTGGTGAACCA